TTTCAATACAATTTGTTTTTATTCAACTCCGGTATAGATACATTTTTTTTTTTTTTTTTTGCAATATTATCACGGAAATGTAGTTTTAGAAGTAATTGAACATTGTTAATTTTTTATTATTTTTTTTTATTGGCTTCAAATATTTAAATTCTTACAGCTCGACAATATTAATAACAATATGTCGTCAGAAGCCTATAATAATAATAACGAAATAATATTTAAAAACAACAAGTGGAACAAACAAACGTGCAAATATGCAATATAAATAAGAAAAAAAAAATACAGAACGCGAATTGTGTTAAATTAAAAAACCAGCAGATCTTATAAATTCTAACGTGGCGAGAATAGCAAGGAATAGAATCAGAATTAAGTATATATTATTATAAAGGGTCTATAGGAGAAATATTTTTGTTGCGAAATACTTGTTGAAAATATTACGACACGGAACAGTGAGAGAAGGACACTGTCACGAATATAAGGAGGGGGGAGGTTAGGGGTTCAAAACCCCTCCCCTGAAATTTCATGAAAACTACGATGAAAGTAGATTTTTAACAGAGTCTCAGAAAGTGGTTTATGTCAATGAGGGAGATGAATGCAATTTTGGTTTAATTTTAATTTTATTACTAGATAGTAGGTATACATTGTTACAATTTCAATTTTTTTTGTGATTTTCCTGCTTTCGGGGAAATTATAACTGATACGGTGGTATCGCATAGTGCGCATTATCATCACAATGATTTGAATTACGCTATTATGTACGCTGCGTTCACTAAACATTTAGTTCGCCATGACCGTTCGACAGTTTTCCGAGAAGTAGCGGTACTTACCTACCTATCTGTGCACGAAATCTGTTATAATCTGTTTTCAGAAACTATAATAAAAGTAATATTATTATTTTAAATGCGCAAAACGATTACATACAAAATAATTAATTAAGAGGACGCCGCACCGACACCGTCTACCGTCTCCGTCTTGCGAACGCGAGACATGGCGAATTTACGTTCAGCAGGACACATTTTGTGCCGTTAGTTTTAATATTAAAGCACAACGAGCCTATTGCCAAATTTAAAAGTAAGGATACATGCTCCGGCGTTGATGGGTTTTTCAATGTTTTTATTTTCAAACGAGACACGAGTGTAGTAAATATCACAGTTCAAATGCGATTAACATTATATCGAAAAACCGTCAACTCTAAGGGGCATGAATAACGTTCTTCTCTTCAAGTTTGGCGATACGTTAATTCGCTTCAATATTAAAAGTAACGGCACAAAATGTGTCCTGCTGAACGCAAATCCGTCGCCCCGCGTTTGTTGACGGAGACAGTCAGAGACGGTGTCGGTGTGTCGTCCACCAACGTGTAAAACCCGAATAAAGTGAATCCGCGTAACGGCCACCTATCGAACCCGAAGTTCATCGACCTACAGTTTGTCTCGGCCGGAGACTTTTTCGAGAAGTCTATTTTTAGACACCCGACCGATGACTAGATCGGTTTTCCGAGAGCAGGTCACCTCACCTTCCAGCGAATAAATCTATTTTAATCTGTTTTTAGAAAACGATAAATTTTATCGATCATGTGGGTTAAAATAATATCTGTGGCTTGGTGTAACTTGGTGTCACAGTGTCACATTTTGTGATTGTTGGGAAAATGGACTTTGAAATTTTATTTCCCCGTAAGGCTCTGTGTATTTTATTAAATGTAAATTTTTGTGTAATTTTCAATGATGTAGGCGAGAAGTTGGGAAATTTAATTGGTGTTTACTAGTTGTGGCCAAAATCAAAAAAAAAAAAAGGTAAGATAATGGCGACGGGTGCAGCCACTGGTGTAGGTGAGAAGTTGGAAAAGTAGGACATGCACGGGAATTCAATGTATATCTGTAAGCAACGATAAACCATTACGAAACAACGATGATGAAGAAACGAGTGATGCTTTGACAACAATATATATGTTAGGGAGTGTACATTGTACATTGTCAACAACATATATATACATATCATTTTATAGTTAAATAATTAAATAGGCTTCGTATATTTTCTTCAATAAACTTTGTTTAATGTTGTACCGATTTTCCCAGTTTTCTACGTTTTTCTCGGTATTCCCATGTTTTATCGCGGTTTTTCGCATTTACTGGGAAAACTCTTGGGAAAATCAAAAAATGAGCTCTTTAAAGTACCGTCCAAATGAAATTTCCTTTTAGAAACATTGTTCCCATTTAAAGTTGGAGCAAAATTGCTGGTGGAAAAATTGTGCGCGGAAAAAAAAGGCCGTAATATATTTTAACTAATATCTACATTTCTTAGATATTTTCCCGTTTTTTTTTTTTCGGTTTTTTTTCAAATTTGATGAGAAAACTCCTGAGAAAATCGAAAAATGATCTTCTTAAAACCGATTTCCTCCCAGAAAAGGTGCTACACATAGAAATCTGAGGAAATCTTTTGGTAAAAAATTTGCGCATATATATAAAAAAAAACAACAAACAAAAATAAATATCTATAAAATCATAAGCTTCTTTGCTCTACTCACAATCTGGTCGCAATAAGAAGGTTACATTAATTGCGGTCGCTTAATATTATTGGTTTCCATACTAATTGGAATATTAAAACATTTTCCTTCCCGTTTATATTACAGTTTTTTAATACGTACGTAATAATTAAAATATTATTAAAACATGTCGTTTAAAATTTGTATTACTATTATTTTATTTTTTTTTGTATTATATTATTTAAATGTTTAAATGTAATAATTAAAATGTTATCGATACAAAATACTACAGATAAGTATAGTGGTGTTCCCACATAATATATTAGTAATTTAGATATATTTCATAATATGTTAATCGTCAAATAAAAATGATATTGATAATAGTTATTTATCGGTTTAACTTGACATTTTATCCAATTAATTTCGATATCGAGTTTAGTTTTTTAAAAAAATATTATTATATTTAAATTTCGGACATTTTAACGCGTGATCGCAATTCGGAGTTATGCCATAATAATATATGGAGTCAGTGGTGTAACTAGAATCTTTTTTTTTTTTTGGGGGGGGAGGGTGATGTTTGTGAAAAATATCAGAAAAATAAAAAAATGATTAACTATGTATACATCACAAAATTAAACTAAAACATTATACTACATAATTACCAAACAATTAGTTCACTTAACGGACACCTCTAAATAGCGGACATTCAAATAGTGGACGTTTTTTTAGGGAACGGGTATCATATTTTTACTACCTACCTATTGTGTGAAATCTTTCAAATATAAATACGAGACACTAAAATAACGGACACTTTATCCCTCTGAATAGCGGACAAAATTTCAGTGACCGAGTGCTAACGAAAAACGATTCGGAGCGAAGTTCGCTAGTACAAGTTCTGAAAGGTCATATATATTTACGATTTTTGTCAAAATTTTGATATTAAAATAAAACACTGCATTATACTTTTTATTTTACCACTAACACGATTTATAATAAAACTCATGGTAAATTTTCATGCATTTCTGTTAAGCCTAATAATTTTATGCGCGAGTACTTACTGAATAAATGCTACGTAAAAAACGCTCAAAATTTTAACCGAATAACAACAAAAACCCAAATGCCGTACAAATAGCTGTATTTCCTACTTTTTTTTTTTCCGATATTCGTAATTATTACGAAAAACTCAACAACGACTTATTTACTCACAAATATAGACGTTTTCTTTCCGAAAATATGCTATTCTTAATATTCGGACAAAGATTTGTGGCCGAAAAATATAATTTAAAAATTGTAAATAAATAAATCGTTGCGCCGTAATTTGATAAAAAAAAAAAAAAAAAAAATCGTATTTTTCGTCTTTGTTCCCAATAATATGAAAAGAGCATTTTATTGCCATATACGTATGAAAAAAGAAAAAAATCGAATTTCTTTAACGGTGACTATATATTAAAACGAACGAAATCGATCTCGTGTCATTTTTCGATAGGAGCAAGATTTCCGGTAGAAAAGTTGTTTACAGACCGACAGAAAAATACACACTCTCATAATAAAACCAATAAATTCCTCGCCGCGCTCCGATGATACAATTACGAAAACAGCAACCGGCAAACTTTGACGCCTAACAATTAAAAAACGAATGCCGAAAGAATTACCGATCCGTTCGTCGTCACACGAACCGGTGGATTTCTCGGACGTTATTATCGATATTGACCGCAACGCGTCGTCGAGTTCAAATGTAATGATGGATTTCGGTATCGCAGCGAAAAATGTGTCACGTAAACCGAACAAATAGCAAATGTATTAATGCGCACTTACCCGCAGAGCACAGGTGGAAAACGCGACAAGTACACCCGCAGTACCGGGGACTGATAACCGAGTCAGGGCCTCGTTTACAGTTTACGTTTCATTCCGGAAACCGTTTGGAAACCATAGGCACCGATGGCAAGGTCTTGTCGTTCAAAACGTTTTAACGGTTTCCAAACGGTCCGGAAAAACTGCGCGCGCGATACGGAACCGTTTCGAGTGCGAAACGCCGTTTTCGGCGGGCCGTGTTTGACAGCCGTTGTTTTCGTACAAATCGGTTCGGTTTGATTTTTATTTTTCCCTATCGAACCCAATGGATGCCGGCCGCGCAGTGAACGAACAGTTCCGTCAGTCGCCCCGCACCCGGTACAACGGGCGGGTACCGTCGCACGGACGTTATTTTACCGTCCACGCCGGTATCATCACGCCCCGCGGGCCGTGCGGTGGCCACCAAGGCCATGTCAATACGCGCCTCGGCCATGTCAATGCGACGTCGTGTAACGTCGTCGACCATTGCTCCGGACGGTCGTACGGGGAGTCCGGGGCGCCGTTGTTTACGATACGCGCTCGATTTTACCACCCCCCCCCTCCCGCCATCCCACGTTCGCGGGCGCGCGCGTTTCTCGCGACGGCGAGGCGCACGGGGCTACGTAGGCAATCTACAGCGTTTGTCCCGCGACACGCGCCGCGATAACCGCAGTGATAACGGCTGGTGCGGCGGTAAGCGCGCCGCCGTAACGGCTCGGAACGTTTCAGTTTCAGGCCTCCGCGCGCGCGTGTTGGGTACTCTCGGTGCGTTCGGGCCGCGCGACGACCGCTGCGAACGGCAACGACAATCGTTATTCATTATTATGACGATTAAAACGATACTCGCGGCCGAAGAGTTCAACGGAATCAACAGCAGCGGCAACGACTACTGCGACAGTCGCCCACAATCGTTCCGGTCGTAGGCGCGCCGAAAATTTAATAACGCGAACCGACCGTAGTCGGCGTATTTTGTTTTTCATGAGCGCCGCCGAACGCGTCTGATATGTCCGCGTCAACATTCAGGTAAGTTGCCCGCAGTGTTGGATTCAACACCCCGTTAGCACGTTATTGTCGTTGTCCTAATGCCGTTGTTGTTTGCGTTGTCGCCCAAACAGCAAATACGACGAATACGGTTTCGTGCGTCCGGACGACTTTGATTACGCGGAATATGAGAAATTCATGTCCGTGTACCTGACGGTGCTGTCCAAACGTTCGATGAAATGGTCTCGCGTCATGGCGTCGTCCAACCCGCAGCTGAAGAGGACGCGCAACCTCAGACAGTACGTTCGCAAAGGAATACCGATGTCTCTCAGGGCCCAGGTATGTATCGTGCGATACACGGGACGCAGAGTGCGCCATTCCCAGTTTTTATTAACGAATTGAATTTATTAACAAATGCGAGTCCATTTGAAAATGAATCCATGTACCTGAATAATTGCCAAATATGGAAATTAGAACCGTCCGTAAACAATCGGTACATTGGGTACATACAGTTTTTAATGAATCTGTAGAACCGATATTATACTCTTGTCAATATTTTATTCGGTGCCCATAATATTGAATTATAATTTATATTAGCCCGTATGTTGTGTTCAGGTGTGGACGTCTGTTAGTGGTGTACAATGGTTAAAGGACGAATATGCAGAATACGGATCAGACCTGTACAAGAAATTGTTGAATAAACCGATAAACGACGATATCAAGAACATAATCACAGTTGATTTACCAAGAACTTATCCTGATAATATTTATTTTTATCCTTCCTCTGAAAATCAATCAGCCTTATACAGAATTCTTTGGGCATTTGCTGCACACAATCCGTATTTAGGATATTGTCAGGTAAATATTCATATTTCACATTATTATCACCGTCTCGGTTAATTAATATTCTCAAATTTAATTGTATCTGTTTTAGGTTATAAACATATTTAATCTACCCAACGAGTTGATTAATTTAAAACAAATAAATGACATTTTTTTTTTTTTTATCAAACAAAGTATTTGTATTAAATATGTTTATTATTTATCTGACGCTCTAATCAAATAAACTAATTTATCATAATTTTACTTTACAACATTAATCATAAAAATTCATATTTTATTAGTTGGTGATACAAATAAATCCAAATTATTTGTTTTTTTCTTTAGAAAACATTATTTGAACATCAGTTGTAAATATTATAACCTGTATTGGCTTTATCAATCTCCCATTTAAGTTTCAAAGAAAAAAATAAGTATATTTGTATAATTTTTAGGTAAAATGTAAAACAAACTATATAAATTGATGAATCTATTAGGTATGTTGAAAACTATGAAAACTTGTTTGTATGGTTATTATTTTCATTATCCATTAATCTGTTAATTATTTAACCCTATATTTATGTTTACACCTTATTTTGAATGTCAGAAATAATGAAGTATTTATATTTCAAATTTGTTATAGTCATTGACTTAATGCTAACAAAAAAAATTTCAAATTTCAGAATATTACTGAAATAATATCACTAAGTACCTTCAATGTAAATATTGTTTTTAATTTTTAATGTATAATAAAATAATTATAATAATTTAGTTTGTTGTTACATGTTAACTCTGGAAAAGGTTATCATGTTATAAAATTGGTTGTTTCCGAGTTGAATACAACACATCATAGGATATTTAATTTTATCATTTTATGGTTAGAATATATGAGTATGGTGATATAATATAATAAAAAATCATATAAATGATTATATACACTAATAATAATAGCAACAACAACAACAAAATAAATCTTAATATTATAAAACTATAATTTGATAAATTAAAACATATCACTTATTATAATTATTCGGTAGTGTATTATGACATTTTTTTTTTTGTTTGTAATTAAAAATATGTTTGCAAAGTTCAATGTGGTTACAATCAGTTTAATTACAATGCACCTACCTAATTAATATTATATATTTACACTTTTTAAGTTTAAAAAACTGCAATAATTCTTCGTATTTGTAAATTGCAGGGTTTAAACTATATAGCCGGTTTGTTGCTGTTAGTTACCAAAAATGAAGAAACTACTTTTTGGTTACTACGAGTGTTGGTAGAGAAAAAACTGCCAGATTATTATTCTAAGACTATGGACGGTGTGGTTGTAGATATCGAAGTATTTTCCCGACTCGTGAAGTAATTCATTTTATCTATATTTTAGTAATAACAATACCATATACCTACTGGTGGTTAGAAAACTAAGGCTAAGTAACCTATTACATGCATTATTACCATATGGTTATAATAGTATGAATGCAAAGTCATAAAGTTACAGAAACAATTAATGTAGAAATAATAACTGTTCAAGAAAGATGGGCTAACGATAGTATTTTAATTTATCTAAATGTACAATTTATGTATATTAAAATATGTCTGATTTTTGTTATAGAAAAAAATGTCCAGACGTGGCTCAACACATGATAAATTTAGACATGCCATGGGCACTGATTGTTACAAAATGGTTTGTTTGTCTATTTGCCGAGGTTTTACCAATCGAGGTACTTACTCATTTAATACTCATAAAAGCATAAAAGTAATACTCATCAACAGATTATTTTTAGACAAAATTTCTTGTTTTTTTATCTAGACAACATTAAGAATTTGGGATTGCTTATTTTACGAAGGGTCCAAAATTATATTTAGAGTCGGATTGCTTTTGGTAAAACATTATAGAACAGAATTGCTGGCATGTGAAGATATCGGATCGTTAGCAGAATGTTTCAAGTCAATCATTCAACGACCATTTCCTTTAAACTGTCATACTTTTATAAAAGTATGTATTTATTGAGGAGAAAGAAAAAAATAAAATTAATTTTCTTTTTTTCCATAGAAAATGTTTACGGGTATCGGTTCATTACCCATGTCGTTGATTAATGATTTGCGTGTACAAGTATCTGCGGAACGAAATGCCGATATGTCTACTTATAAAAATAGAAAAGGGTAAACTTGTATTTTAAACAATTTATCTTTTTTTAATGTTTTTATGGTATAATGTTTGTACAAATAAATAAATTCTAGTCATATTTTCTACGGCAAAACATGTGGCCAACTATACTTTATAATTATAACAATAATAATAATTTAGGAATCTATGGTTTGAAATAAGTATATTCCACTTACAAATTTATCATTAATATACAATATCATAATTTATATTTCGAACATACATATTATTATTTATGATAAGTTGTTAATATTTTAATTTTTATATTTACACGATAATGTTAATAATTTTATTATGATTTTTCATTGTTATAACAATATACTATTACATTTTAATGTATTCGTGAATGTAATTTTCGAAATATTTAATTGTATTTTAATATCCTTTTGAAACAGAATGACCAATTTTTTAAATACTATTTTTTTGTAAGAATAAAAACTTTAACTGATTACATAATATCAATACTATTTAATAAAATATAGTTATAACTATTATGATTGTTATTTGTTGTGTGTTTTGATATATTTATTGTATATCTAAAAAACTAAATGCAGCTTAAAAAAAAAAAAATATATTTTTAAAGAAATGTTTGTGTCATATCATTTATGTATCATATTGTTTTTTTTTTTATACTGCGGACTTGTATGATTTTTTTTTTATTGTATTAGTACCACTAAGAAAAGTATTTTAAAACATTAATGTATTAATTTTATATTTTTATTGTTAGTCAAACACCTGTTATTCTATGTTACGTTATAAACAAATACTATGTATTTTGCTAAAGATGTAAATCAGTTTTATTCAAATAATTTAAGAACCATAAATATATTGTTATTAAAAATAATACTCTTGGAAATGCCATCTAATGTTATAATTGTTAGAATTTCAAAAAAAATGTGATTGAGGGAGATTCCAATAGAACATAATTGTGATATGAGGACTATGTTAATAGAAATGCAAAGCTAGCGGGGCTTATAGTTAATGATATGTGAATGGTGGTATCCAGTATATTTAGCGGTATGGTTTTAACTGGCATTTGTAATTTTTCGTCAGACATTTTGGTTACTATTGAATATATTATTATGTTAAGTAAATTAAAAGTAGGTACATTATTCTGGGTACCTATTTATTGTATGTAGTACTATGCACCTATAACCAAATTATGGAGAGGTGGAGATAGATCTCCTTATTTATACAGTATATTGTTTTATTTAAAATGGTTAAAAAAAAAGTTCAAGTACACATTTACAAAATTAAAAAAAATGTTAATCTTTTAATTGTTTAGTAGGTATTTAGGTACCAAAATATTCTTAGTTTATTATTTTAGTAGGTAAGCAATATTGTTAAAAGTTTATTTCAAAATAAATTTAAGTTAGTTACATACAATGCGTTTTGGACATTATAATTTTGAAAACAAGGACGCACCATTTAATAGGAAGTGTCAGTAATTATAGATATTGACTTGAGTATTAAAAGACAAGTAAATCAAGCAAATAGAAGGATACTGTAAAATATCAATATTTTTACCTTACCTCTATTTTTTTTTATAAAATAACTACTGAAGGGAAATTTTAAATCCATGCTGAAATCTTTGAAGGGGTGATAATTATTATTAATATTTTTAATTGCAATTTATAGTATTGTAGCATTAAAACATTAATCGCTTAGATAAAATATTTGTGTCTATCTATATTATTAAAATTCAAACTTAATTTATACAAGTACCAATGTTATATTTTATAGGATTTCAAAGTTTGTTTTTCAATACTTTAACCGTAAATGAGAAAGTATCTTATAGAAAATTATTTAAATTTTATTCACCTACTTTAAATGTGAATAATTCAATTACTGAGTTGAAATTATGAAAAGCAAAACTTGAACGAACAAACAAAATTGAATCATTAAAAGGCTGTAATACAGATATTTTTCTTAATGTACAATACATTTTTAAAATACTTAACGTTTCTTCAAGTACACTAGAAAGAATGTTTTCTAACATTAAAGTAATAAACACTTATATTCAAAATAGTACGTTACGAGATAGATAACTATTTTTAGTTGTGCTTGATAAAATTACCTATAAAATAATACCTAGGTACCTAGTACATCAAAATTGTCTTTAATTTGTTTATAGAAGTGACTTAATGGCCTGGCAATGTTGGCAATTTTTGATGACATTCTATTTTCAAACAAATATGTCATGAATGAACTTTCCAAGAAGCCTAGAAATCTAGACATATTAGGACATAAGGTACCTACTATGAAATTGAAATATGTACAAAAATATTATTGTAGCTATACTACTGTAATATGTAGTACAGAAGAACTTTATTGCTGTATGATGAGTTATTAAATGTAAACCTAACCGGAGGGTTGGGGGTCGAAACTAATGAACTTATTTTGAATATCCCCCCCCCCCCGTGAAATATTTTCATTTACGTCATTGCAAAATTAATTTTGTTTTACCGGCTATTCTACCTATATTATAAAATTATTTGTGAACCTCTTGAGTAAGACTGTATAAGATGCATATTCATCATATGAACTGTACATTTTTTTGGAATATTTAAAAAATAATATTTTTGAGCTATTTTACGACTAAAATAATTCTACAGTTGTTTACACCAAATTTAAAATGAAAATGGCTCTATTTGAAAACATCAAAATATTCCCCTCGTATAAATGTTTATGACTGGGGCAGAGGACTTTAGCATTCGCATATTTGTTTTGCACATTAACAAAAATAGCCAAGTTCGAAACAAATATCTACGTTTCATGCTTTTACAAAGCTGGTTTTGAAATTTTATTTTGCATACAAATGGATATTTCAAGGTTTTTTTTTTTATTTTAGAAAACTTCAATTTTATACTTTTTGAATAAACATATTTTAAATAATTTATCATCCTATCAATATTTACCTGTCGTTTTAATTTCATTTTATATACAACCAAAATATTGTTGAATTTAAAATTATTTAAATTTTTATCGTATGATTGTTTTATACATTTTTAATATAATTTTTCCTTGAAACATGCTTCGAGGGTCGCCGATTAGATTAATTTTATTTTTAAACAGTAAGCACGGACAATTTTTTTATTTAGGATCAGAAGAATTTTCAAGATATTAAAATTTGTAAAAAAAAAAAAAAAAAAATGATGTATATATTTTTAAATAAATTACTTTAAAAAATATATATAAGCATATTTTTAGTGCACAGGGTTTTTAAGTGTATATGTGCTTGCATATTTAGTGCATTTTTAGAGCTACAAATCCTCTGTCTTATTTATGACATTTATATTGACTTGCAAAATTCAATGCCAAGCAAATTAACCAATTTCTTTTAATTAGGTACTTACTTATCTAGTTTGGGTTAAGTTAGGTATTTTAAAATAAATAAACAATAATAACAGTTGAGTTGACCGTAACTTTAAAATACATATTATTGAAATCGAATAACTAAGTTACTTAACACGTTTTCTGGAAAATAATTTTAATCCCAAATTATCTTCAGCTACACTTAATAGAAATGTTTTTTGTTCAAATAGTTCAGACACAATAGGCGGTTTACGTGCCGTTTCGCTGTACCTATCGCTGGTTGTAGACGGTCAATAAATCCGTGTCGCCCGATTCCCGTCTAATCACTCCGCGCGTAAATATTGAAACGGCCGGGAATAGCTAACGGAGTACCACCATTGTGTACCGAATACGAATAGTATTGCGTTATTTTGTCGTGTCGGTTTTAAGTTTTTCGACGACAACAACACGTCTGTGTATCGCAGTAATATTGTTCGTTCGGTTCCCCGTTCCTACGATAAACCGAAACAATTAAATCCGTATTTTTTTTATCTCGTCCTCCAAATTTTATTTTGAATTTTTTAAATAACAAATTATTCGAATACCCATACCTAGGTATCGGATACGTTTAATTGTTGTAAAAACGTTGCATCGATTTTATTAGATCCAAAATGCAACGTAAAAGGTCTTTTGTCGTGTTTTGATTAGCGAGATTTCTATTAGAAAAAAAAAAAAAAATACCTCACACCATAGTGAACCCAATGCATTCCTCGCTCTCCGCTCAGAATACAAAAACAACATTAACAACTATCTCATAGGCAAGCAGTAATACTCAGAATCTAAAAAATCATGAAACGTTATGACTATAATAGCTAGTGACTATAATGTTTGCATTTATTAGGTATAACCGTTGAGTATAGATGGTATAGATACTATCTATACTCAATGGTAGGTATAACATACTGAATTATTAAGCAGTGCATATGTTTTGGAAAAAAAAAAAAAATTAATATAATTCGATTTAATCGTCAATTCCAGCGTATTAACTCGGATTTCATCATTTTTGATGTTAAATTGAAATCTGTTTTTGTTCATACGCATTACGCGCATAGGTACTTGACTAGGTATAACTGATGTATGTTTACTTCGCGTTCTTCAGGTATTTGATATGGAGTTTTATTAAAATTCTTCTTGTAAAACCAACTACTCGTATTTAATTGCATTTCTTTTATTGCTGAACGAAGAGATTTAACTTCTCCAAATTTTTCTCAAAATAAATACAACGAGAAACTTCTGATAATAATTATTGTGGTTAAATAATAACGATTATTGTTGTACCGAGAAATAAATATTGATTTGTTTAACTTTGTTTAAACTTTTAGATTCCGAACGTAGCGAGGAAGCTATTGGCTTTACAATGCTCTTAATAGTTATTGGTTTTTCTTTCTTCTAGTATGTGGACACGTTTCAACCTAGTAAATTTACTCCGATTTTTATGTGTAACAACTTTTCTGAAAGCTCGAGTAGTCCAGATGGTACTTTACAGAAGTCATTTTTTGATTTTCGACGCCGTTTTTTAAATAAAAGCACTTAAGAGGGAAACAAATTATGAAAACGTACAATTTCACGATTTAATTATTTTATAAAAACACGGACGAAGTTTTCTATCAGAAAAAATGATTTAATTGAAAAATCACTTGCCTTTTTGATTTCATTTCTTACGGTATCATTGCAAAGACTTTTGAGTTTTTAAGAAATTTTAATATTTTAGAAGTTTTTTTTACTGTAATGAAACTCGAAATTTGGTAATAATACTTATATTAGACTTGTTCTTTAAAACGTATACCTACTTAAAATCATATTATTTTAACCCGCTGTAGGTTCCTACGAGTATCCCATAATAAGCACTCTAAGAAGAACAATATGTAAACAATTTCTAGCTAAATATTACCACATTGTATTTAGTAAAATAACTTTAATTTGAACAAAATAAATACCTACCCAAGCTAAATCAAAACTATTTACCTATCTAAGTAGGAACTCATTTAACTAAAGTTATTTTCTTATATTCAGAACTTGCGTTTACCTATTTGTTTGTAACTAATCAAGTTCGAAGTCATCAAAAGCATTTAGGTAGGTACTGTTACGACTTTTTAGCTATATAAAGTTACTAGCCAGCGGCGACAAACTCGAACGATCGAGTAACGAAATCGACGATGCGTCCGAACCGATCATCATATTTCTGTCGTGTGACGTAAGTACCTACCTACTATTGTGTTATAATTATTACAATTTTTATTTTTATACCATAAACACAAAATATAATTCAATATTGTTAAATAGTTTTTTTTTTGTTGTTCTGTTTTATGACGCAGACACAATAGGCGGTTTACGTGCCGTTTCTCTGTACCTATCGCTGGTTGTAGACGGTCAATAAATCCGTGTCGCCCGACTCCCGTCTAATCTATTCCGCGCGTAAATATTGAAACGGCCGGGGATAGCTAACGGAGTACCACCAATGTGTACCGAATACGAATAGTATTGCGTTATTTTGTCGTGTCGGTTTTAAGTTTTTCGACGACAACAACACGTCTGTGTATCGCAGTAATATTGTTCGTTCGGTTCCCCGTTCCTACGAAAAACCGAAACAATTAAATCCGTAATTTTTTAACAACGTAGCTGTCTATCTATAAGAAAATATTAAACGCCGCTTTATCAATTTTCATTTTAGATTCCGAACGTAGCGAGGAAGCTATTGGTTATACAATGCTCTTAATAATTATTATATTTTCTTTCTACTAGCCTGTGGACACGTTTCAACCTAGTAAATTTACTGCGATTTTTACGTGTAACAACTTTCCTGAAAGCTCAATTTTTCTATACGGTATTTTAAACAAGTCATTTTTTGATTTTCGACGCCGTTTTTTAAATAAAAGCACTTAAGCGGGGATAAATTTTAGGAAAACGTACAATTTCACGACTTCATTATTTTATAATAACACAGACGAAGTTTTCTACCAGAAAAAATGATTTAATTGAAAA